TATGAACATTGATATTTGGAAGATGTTGAAAAATTAATTGAAAAAATGTTTGAGACCTAGAATATATTAAATATGATGTTGAGTTTTTTTTTATTATGTTTAATTATCTCATGGCAAAGAAACCATAACTTTGTAACTATGCATTTTAAGTCTTGAAAATAATAATACTACTGTCTTAAATTTGCATTATGCTTCTCTTTAAGGCTGTTGCTCTTGTTTAGTTGCTGAGTCATGTCTAACTCTTTTTCGGCCCCATGGGTTGTAGCCCGCTAGGCTCCTTTGTCCATGGGATTCCAGGCAAGAATACTGGAGTGGATTGCCATGCCCTCCTCCAGGGGATTTTCCTGACCCAGGGATCAAACCTGTGTCTACTGAATTACAGGTGGATTCTTTATTGCTGAGCCAATGGGGGAAGCTGTCTCTTTAAGGTACTCAAAGCATTTTAGGGGACAAAGGTAATATGTATATTATCAAGAAAAAAATAATTGTTTTAATAGAATAATAGGGCGGCAACAAAAGTGAAACTAATTCTGTTAGAAAATGGTTTGTGTTCCAAGAGGCTCGTGTTGGAAATTTTATGCTTAAAGATATAATTAAATATGTGTTAGTTGCTCAGTCGGTTCTGACTCTTTTGGACCCCATAGGACTGTAACCCTTCAAGTTCCTCTCCCACAGAATCCTCTAGGCAAGATTACAGGAATGGGTAGCCATTCCCTTCTCCAGGGAACCATCCCAAAGACCCGCGTATCCAACCTGGGTCTCCTACATTACAGGCAGATTCTTTACTGTCTGAGCCACCAGAGGCGAGCAATGATATAATTATGAACCATGATTCCAAAAAGTAAATACTGTGTTCTAGTCTCCAGCCATACCACAGGACCCCATACCTCATCTCAAAGATGACTTTTTACAATTCTGTGTTTTGACATCCTGCATTTGCTACACTTCTTTACTTCTTCAGTTCAGTTCAGTAGCTCAGTCATGTCTGACTCTTCACGACCCCCCACGGACTGCAGCATGCCAGGCTTCCCCGCCCATCACCAACTCCCAGAGCTTGCTCAAACTTATATCCATGGAGTCAGTGATGCCATCCAATCATCTCTTTCTCAGTTGTCCCCGTCTCCTCCCTTTATTTCTTAATTTCCACCTTTATAAGTCCCTCTAGATAACAGTAAGGATAGGGTAGAAAAAGATGGATATTTACAAAGTGTCTACATTGAAAGTGGATTGCAGCTTGCCAGGATCCTCTATCCATGAAATTCTCCAGGCAAGAATACTGGGGATCTTCCTGACTCAGAGACTGAACCCAGGTTTTCTGCATTGCAGCCAGATTCTTTGCCATCTGATTTCCCAGGAAAGCAGATATTAAAAATACTGACATCAAAATAATGAGTAAAATAATGCCTATTTTCAAGGAGTATTTGGTCTAGTGAAAAGACAGTTATCTACCCAATTAAGTGTTCTACCAGCTCTTTACATATATATAAAGTTTATAATGAGTCATTCGTACAATATTGAGAGATCACAGGGGGAGAACTCTTCTTGGGGAGAGTGTCTCCCTAGGGAGACATCAGGGAAAATTTCATAAAAGAGAAAAGGGCATTCTCCCATGAGGAAGCACAAGATTTCAGATAACTGTTGTGGTATTTATTTATCCTTTTGGTTTATTCATTTTATCTAATAAACAAATCCCCCAAATCATCTAACAAATCCTCTAAAATGTGCCAGGTATAGTGATTAGCAAGATTTCAATCTTTGTGCAAAAGAACTCACTGTCTAATATACCTCACATCATGGAAGCGTTGAGGATGTTCTAACAGTTCTGGGAGTATGCAGGAGAATACAAAGAAAGCTTTAAAAGAGTAAATGAAGCAATAGTGAGATAAACAGAATTTCAGGCTTGTAACAAATATCATCAACCTATCCATTTATCCTTTTGTCCATTTTAACATTCATAAACTGTCTATATGCTAATTGCTTTTTTGAAAATACTCTACAAATCCCCAAGTCCTAGTTCAAATGTTAGCTCCTCTAGGAGAAATTCAGAATCTATAGGAAATCTTTAATGTAATGAAAATTATTTTACTTTTATCACTGTTGACATCACTAGGATCTGCTGGCATATGGTTTCCATTATCATGAAATTTTTAAAGGTAGACTAATGCACAGTTTCTATGGTATAATGGAAGAAGCAGGAGTTTTGGAGTCAGAAGAGCTGGATTTGTGCAGTCCCTCCTGTATTGAACTTGGACAACTATCAGACTTAGTTTCCTCATCTGGAAAATTGAAAGAGCAAAGGAAATAGTACAGTGATAATATGTAAGCAGAAAAGTATAATAAAAGGTGGAGGTGGTTAGTGATTATCTCCCTCTAACTTTCTGAGTATAAAAGTCCAATATTGTATTTTATAATATAGAACTCAATTGATGTTAAAGAGAACACAGGTATTGAAAAATGTGCTCTGTTAGAATTCAAAAGAACTGGGTTACAATCTTGGTTCCAAAATTCTGTCACTTAATTTTCCTGAGTCAAGTTTCTCATCTGAATAATATTCTGATTACTGGTTTGATCTTGGTCAAATCCCCCTTGGTTTTATGAGAGAATGTATGTAAAATGCCTTATACATTATAAACTCTGTAGAAATATATAGTATTGTATTTATCTGTTGGCTCTGATAAATTAATTCTATCCAGCTAGATTTCAACACAATATACATTATTCTTCTATCTGAAATATTATAAATTCTATGCTTCCCAATAATTTCTAGAGAATCTTTCCAATAAGATGATTTTTTCAAAGTCTTGCTTTCTTATTTCATTCCTTGGAAAACTAAAGAATCTCACAGGACTCCTGTTCCCTTAGAATATCCTGGAGAGCATTGGATTGGCAGCCTTCCCTTTGACTCTTTGACATCAAATGTTATGATTTGACTTTCACTTTCTTTTATTCAAATTTCCATTTTTCTAAACATATTTTTTCTAGTGCTCTGCTGAAGTGAAGATCATCAGTGGTCACTCTCTGCATCAGCAAGACCACATATTTGACTAGTTGATCCTTCAGGTCAACAGCCTAGAGAGCTATTATTGAGATGTCCTTCTCATACACTTACCCAAAACTTGTAATGGAATACACTATTCCTATTTTTATTCTTCTTTTTTTTTTAATATTCCTTTTTAAAGCTCAGGACTCTATTGCTCATACTGCAGTTTCCAGTTATTCTTGGGGTAAGTTTTAAAAGGCAAGATGGATTTTACATTAGATTAAACAGGTTGCCTGCAGAGTCACACATTTATGTTGCCATCTCTGAGCTCATCATGTAAAACCTGAACTTCATGGATTTTAATGGGAAATTATTACTGTGGAGACTTGATAATTTATGTTAGTGATGGAGATTCATATTTTAAATTACCAAACTTCTCGGTGATAATTGGGGAAAAGTGAAGGCAAGAAAATGTAAAGGAATTTAGCTGATATCCAATCCCTCCCCACCTTACAGACTACCTGCATTTTTACAACAGGACATTCAAATCACAGCCACCTTATGGGAAACAAATGAAGGAACAGAACACTTTAAATCTTAATTAGTAAATACCTTATGAATAGTCAGGCAGATGTTTATGCAGTAAGTTATATAACAGAAATAAATTTGCATAAACATAGGAAACACTATTTTATTCCATTTTTAAATGACATAATCTCCTTGTCCTAAATAACAGTGGTATTTAATTGGAAATCAGTTCTCTATTGTTGTCATTGCTATTTTTTTTTTTTAATCACCAGCACTCTTTTCTTTCTAGACACCTCTTGTGATGCTTGGCTCCTTATAACGTTTACCAGGAACTTTCCTAAGTACCGGCCTAGTTCTCCCTCAGTGTGCGCTGAACTCAGCAGCCAGAGAAAATCATTTTAAAATGTTAAGTCAGATGTCACTTGGTCAAAACCCTCCAAACGTTTCCCAGCTCACTCAGACTACAAGCCAAAGGACTCATGGTGGCCTACAAGGCCCTACGTGATTACTCGATACCTTCTGCCTCACCATTTGATCTCCTGCCTCTCTCTCCCTTACTCATTCTTCTCTAGCAACATTGGCCTCTCCGCTGCTTTTAGAAGATTCCAAGCACCCTTCTATGTCAGAGCCTATGAAACTGCTATTCTGTCTGCTACCCTCTTTCTTTAAAAGTGTTATGAGTGGCTCTGTCATCTCCTTAGTGCTTTACACAAACTCTACCTTCTTAGTGACTGGTCCTCTGATCACTCTACCTAAAAAATACCCAGCTCTTCTTCCCCTTCCTGGATGTATTTTTATTTATACAACTTCATAGCATCTAATCCAGAGGTCAGCAGACATTTCTGTAAAGGCAGACACAAGCTACATACTCTTTCTTGCAAATGTTCTACACTGGCGCTATGACATAAAACAGCCAAAGGCAAAAGGGGAATGAGAGAATATAAACTGTGTTCTGAAACTACTGTTTAGTTGATAAGTCATGCCTGGCTCTTTTCCAACCCCATGGACTGTACCTACCAGGCTCTCTGTCCATGAGATTTCCCAGACTGGAGTGAGTTGTCATTTCCTTCTCAAGGGGATCTTTCTGACCCAGGGATCAAACCCACGTCCCCTGCATTGGCAGGTGGATTCTTTACCAATGAGCCACCAAGGAAGCCCTCTGAAACTATTGGGTTGGTCAAAAAGTTCATTCAGACTTTCAATCCAATACTTGATTTACAAAAACAGAAGGTAGAGCTTTTTTGGTTCACAGGTCCTAATTTGCTGACCCTCAATGTAACATATTGAATGCAGATTAATTTTTTCCTGTTTTACCTGTCATCTGTTTCTGGCTACATTTTGGATGTAAACTCCATGAAGGCAAAAGTTTGCCCATGACTCTATCACCACTGCCTACAATAGTACCTAGAACCTAGGTGACATTCGATAAACTAATTGCTAAATAAAAGCTTTTTATTTATCCATCTAAGTATCAAGGTAATGGCTCACTTACTCGAATGAAGACAGTAGAAGAGGAAGACCTCTTTCCACATCTCTGTTCCCATTTCTCTTGGAAAATAACCCGAGGACCATCTGCCATGCTCACAATGATTAATAAGGGATGCAGAGCTGCCAACAGTCTGTTTCCAGATTCCTACTGCTCTGCAAATTCTTGCAATATGCCTGAGCATTCCCTTCCAAATTCTGCCCATCCAAGTCATACATGACCCTGTCATCATTATGGGAGCACCAGGAAGCTGATAGCCCTACAGTGTACATACTCATGTGTGACTGGGGGACAGTGACAGAGATATTTATGGACTATCCAGGAAGGGGGAGTTTGTGAAGGGCAATATACTCTTACTTCTTCCCTTCGAGCACTTACTTCTGAAGTCACTTACTTATGTGACTTCACAAATATCTTAAGAGTTAAGAGGGATTATCGCATAACAAGTATTCTTTATATTACTGTCTCTCTATAGTGATTTCTTCAGCAGCCTATTCACAGTCTTTGTCCAGTAGATCTTATGGACCATCTGATATTCTCCAAGCATGGTGACAGGGCATCTTTGGAACACTTTATGTTTCTAAATGTAAGATTCAAATTTACTCTGTGGCTATATTAGAATAACTCTTTAACACCAATATCTAAATAAAATAATTTTTAAAATCACTATATTGCAACTTAAATTGTCACAAAATACAATGAGATAGTAGACTTTGAATTTACTGTGTGTAATGCAAAGAACTAAACTGATAAAATGAATAAGTGTAAAAAGCAAAGCTATATAAATTTTCGGTCTGACTCTTATGAAACTACAGAGGGGTAACATTTTAGAGTTGAAAAGTCTTTAGAGATTTAAGTGATACTTCTGCTATTTCTATACAGATTATTGGAGACTATTTTTATAGAACAGTATATCTATATAATCAAATTAAAGTAGAGTAATTGGACATCCAATGAAACCAAACAGGAAAAGAGGCTGAAAAGAGGACCAATACTTGTTTAGTAGTGTTAGTCACTCAGTCATGCCTGACTGTGATCCCACGGACTGCAGCCCGCCAGGCTCCTCTGTCCATGGAATTCTCCAGGCAAGAATACTGGAGTGGATTGCCATTCTCTTCTCCAGAGGATCTTCCTGACCCAGGGATCGAACCCGGGTCTCCTGTGCTGCAGGGAGATTCCTTACCGGTTCAGCTGTAGGGAAGACCGTTTGAGCTACAGGGAAGACCACTAGTTTGTTAAATACTAAAAGCTAAGAAGTTACAGCCTTTTGACTACAGTTTATTTTCATCTTACATTAGGAAAATGAATGATTACCTGTAAATTCTAAAATGTTTTATGAAATCTGCGTATTGAGAAGCCACAGAACTTGATGTTTCAGATCACTGATTCTGGACCCAGCAGCTGAACTTTGAATCACAGCTTCAACAGCTAATAGCTGTATGCCCTTGGGCAGTCTCCTTAGTCTCTGTGTGACTCAGCTTCTCCTCCTATGAAATGAGGATGATTGTAGTCCTACTTCCTAGAGTCATTGTGAGAACTAAATATAAAACACTTAGATAAGTGTCTAGCATACAGTAATCTCTATATGCTATTATTACAATTTAAGGGGGTGGCCTGCACAGCTCATTGGGCATGTTTGGGTTGCTTACAAACCTATTCCCTCGCATCAGGAACTTTTAAGCTCCCTGCATTGGAGGTACTAGAAGACACTGAAGTGCCTACATGCACTGCCAATGACTGAGACTGGAATCAGATTTCCAGACCCCAGTTGTCTGCAGACTTATTCTCTTCCCACACTGCTCTTTCAAGACCATCAAGAGCAGAAGAAATAGATCTGTCTTCATTTTTAAATTTGGCATCATTTTCACAACCCAGTAAGTAATGAGAAAGGAATAACTTTGGTAAGAAAGATGGCTAACATTTATAAATAAACTGATTATTTGCAAGCATAAAATGAAGTTAATTTTAGAATATTACAGGGGAGACATGAGTAAACTACAGTTATTAGGGCATAATGTAGTCACATTAATTCAAGTTAGTGAGTAATTATCACTGCTTCCATTTTCCTTTTTAACCATTTAAGAGGTCTGATTCCATAGAGTTGAACTGAATGAACCAAATTTCACACTATGAAAGGAGAAACAACACATTTAGATAAAGTAGACTCTGCCATAATATCATTTATAAAAATCATACCAGAAATCCTAGGATATTGTGTAAGTTTTACACACACAGAGGTGACAATATTGAAAAAATTATTTATTTATTTAATATAAAAGGCAAAATAAATCTTAATATTTTAATTATGGGTATGTTTTCCTGATTTGCCTGAAATTCATAATATTAGCTTATTTTTTTCAATATGAATAACAATCCAAAATTTTAATATTTATTTTATGCAGGTGCTCCTGCATATTTTAAAAAAAATTACTCTCTTTACTTTTTACCTTGGCCCTGCCACATTTACTACATAAAGAAACTTGAACAAAAAGAGACACATCTAGGAAAGGGCAAAAGAATAAAACCTAGATGTGCTGACTTTACACTTAACATTCCTAAATCTTTTTATTTATATTGTTCATATTATATATATATTAATATTCTTTATATTAAGCTTCCCTTCCATCCTTATCTCTAATATGCCATTATTCACCCACTTAAAAAATTAAAATGATATAATCTCTCACTTTCCCTCACTCATTTTTCCTAGACGTCTTTTACCTAAAACTGTCCTGGTCTAGTGATTTTTATAAACACAGCCCTGTCTGCTTCCTGTGTTAGGTCTGAATACTGCCTGTGGTTCCTCTACACTGTATTCCTATTAAAACGTTGGTGGCTTTCTGGTCTATTCTGTGGAATTCGCTTTATATTTTAGATTATATTGCACTGAAATAAATCAGGTGACGTATCTGTGTGCTTCTCAAAGGAGGGACATACCCTTATTCATCTTTAGAGACTCAATAGATAGCACAATGCTGATCACATAATATATCCTCAAAAATTTTATTTGAATATATAGGTGTGTGAAAGAGTATACTTCTTCTTCCTCTTCTTTTTTTCAATTAGAATTCCTATGCATGGTTATTAAGTTCCCAGAGCAGATGGATCTTCCTCAATCAGGAATACTCCCTAAGGGAGGATAACGTTGACTACTCTGGGATTCACCCAAAGTGATGATTATAAGTAATGAACAGGAAGACTGTCCATTATTAATAGGACATTAAAATATCATTTCTTAACAGTTGTTATGTGCTAATCACTTTATGTATGTTACCTTATTCATTCCTCGCCACAACACTTTAAGGTGATATTTCTGTTCATGCTTCTATAGATGAGAAAACTGAGTCCGCAATGCCAATAAATTGCCCAAAGTCACACTACCTCACATATCTCTGAAAAGAAAGTTTGTTTATATGAACTAAGTTATATTCTGTCCCTGGTTTCTGCCTTAGTTATGGTGAGCAGCATGCACTGATGGATTGACCGCATGGTTGCCAGAAATCTATGGCAGCAAAAGACTTACACAATTCCACAGTAACTCTGATTGACATTATTCAGGCCAAGTGATGTGCAATTATTAAGACCATGCAGCTTATCCCCCTTGGAGGCCAGGGGCAAGCAGTTATTGGTCACAGATGCACCCTGAAAGGGAGGTATTGTTCTGTTTCCCACTTTATCTCCAGGGTCTGAAGGCTCTAGCACTGGCTAAAGTTTAGACTGAAGAATAACATGTGTATAATTTACTGGCTTTCACTACAATTTGATTACACCCAAAAATTAGAAGGTCATCAGGGGAAAACAAGAAAATAAATTTATCTGTGAGGGAATTGTGACTAAAGTAATTTTTCCTGGTACATTGATGAATGTTGTATAGTAGGCAAAAAAAAAAAAAAGACAGACAGAATTTTTTTATATCCTTAATTTATTGACACAAGTGCCCTCCAGCTTCCAAATCACCTTCATCTGACAGAAATTAAACAGAATTTCAAAGAAAAGGGCAACACAAGACAGGAGCTATTTCCAGTGCTGAAATAGAACAGGAACTACAATAAACAGAAAAATCCTTCCGACAAAGCATACAATAAATAAAACATCAAAAGCACAAATAGAAGAACTCAATTAAAGTAGAAAAGTTTCCAGTCTTCCCCTGAAGGACATAAATATTATTATTTATTATTTATATAGTGCTCCAGGTGCACATGGCTTTATATACCAGGCTGAATATCATACAAACAACAAAAAACAGTGTCCTGTAGGGCTTCTGATTTAGGGACACATTGAGAACCGGGGTATTGTATGGACTATTTCATACGAAGAAAAGCAATATATTGAAAACAGTTCAGTAAGTCACTTTTTAGAAGACACTTTAATAGGTTTTCCAATGAAGAGAAGTTCAAGGTCAGATCTGATTTGGATGTTTGTATTACTTCAACAACTAAAACCAAGGTGAACAAAAAATGAAAGAGTAAGAGTGAGAAAATATTAGTAATTAGATCTTTCAGTGGTAGTTCCTGACTCATCATCTTCCTTATTTTCAGCATTAGTTCCCCAGTAAATCAGTCCTGAAATGTTTTTCTAGTCACGCCTGTAGTCTCAATATAGAGCCTCTCCAACAAGTCTACAAACACCTAATCCACTGTATCCCTTTGGGTTTAAGATATCTTGAGTGGTTTCTGCTTCTAGTATGGAACAAAGGCATATGCATCTTAAAACATGTCATGTGAATAATACGGTTATGCTCGACTGCTCTTCTTTTGTGCTGAAAGCATTACTTTTAAAATGTCAACATTTAAAATATAATACAATTTTTTGAACCCAAGTTTAAGATACTTTTATTTTCTCTCATATGAATATATATCCCAAAAAAAGGTGAATAAAGAAGATTTTCCCCTTAAAGGAAGAGATGAAGAGGAGGCAAAGAGGCAAGTTAAATGCCAATGGTAGTCTCTTTCAGGTTAAAAAAATCTGTTTGAATAATTAAAAAATCTCTAATTGAATACTTTAAAAAATCATGAGAAGAATAGTAAAATGTCTCCTAACTAGACCATTAGCAATTATTAGAAAAAAGAATTTTGGCTTCAGAGGCAGTGTTG